GTAACTAAAAGGCGATTATGAGGATGATCAAAATCGAATCAGGTTGGAGACCTTCTTGTAAAAAGTGGATTTAAACATTTCCTGTCGCAAAACGGAAGCAGATTGACCTACGCGTTCAGAGATGCATGGGATTGACTTATGAAGGAGTTAGTGACACTTCGTTGCTGTAGCCAGGATTCGATTTGACGACCGATTGAGCACGCAAGCCTAATCACTACCACAACTGTTATATGCCTGTTGATGCACGTCGCCAAGAGGTGAATTTTCATGCTCATTTCCACTTGTCAATAATTCCTGCTCAGCAGACGGAGAACGAGAGAGCGCTGGTCAGGCCTGATTGACATAGAAGGCATAGTGATGGTGCGTGCAGGCACAGTCTAACACTGTGACAAGTGATAATCTTTCTGTACTCTCGACCTGTCCATCTTAGCCACTCTTGAGGAGTTTATGTGGTTTTTCCAGACTTCATACACGCATAAATTGAACAGTGATTTTGCGTGGGAGAACAAGCGTATCTTCGCAATTGAGGATCCAATATGGGAACTTGTTGACATTTGATGATCTCCTATTAATATTTATTGCGTAATCTACAGATTTCCCCATGGAGTTATCAAGCTCAGAAAGTCTAATACTTGTATAATCATATGAAAAATTGATATTTTGAAAAGCACTGTGACAATGAGGTCGAATACAAGCTCCTGAATTAGGGACAGGGGTCATTAAAGAGGTTTTAGTCGCTATTACTATCAGAGAAGCAGATGAGAACGAGTGTCAGAAACTCGGCCATTCAAAAAGGCGTGTAACCGCTATGCGGTCTTATCGATTTCAGTGAGTAGCGTAGCCTCGTATTGATTCTCGCGATTAGAGAGTTGGCATCACAGAGCAAATATCGATTAAAACGACTGAGTTAAGTTCGAATTGCTGTCAACTTAACTCATCAACATGATGCAATTTAACAACTAAAAGACCACCTGTCATTAGCGAAGCCATGAATAGCATCAGAATCTTCGCTTGAAAACAAATAGTCAAAATGCATAAGTAATACTGCCCAAGACTCAAAAAGTGGCTAATGTTGATTAGTAATCGTGTCAAAACAGCGCACATTGAAAACATATACAACATTACACGCTTTGTTAATTTTATAATTATACCAAGGTAGTGCAGTCAGATTTTTCCAATGGGGTACCAATATCCCTAAACCACTCAATTTGCCAATGATTTATCTAGAATCTACCAAAGCATGAGTCACTGTGCAATCGGTGCTTAGGCAACAGCCAGGTAACTATCTACTTATAATTTCGCTTGAATAACTCGCTTGGTTGTCATTCCTTGCAAAAGGTACGCGCGTTTAAATGAAATCTCAAGTTTGACACTAATAACGAAGATAAAAGGAGCCCTTCAACCGCCTATCAGGTTAACCACGGAAGCAATGATACATGTGTTCGAAATTTTCCGCATAGGCTCCTATGGACTTGGACAAGTCAAGATAATGCAATTATTATTGATTAGTGTGCTAATTATGTAATCATAAATCTATAACAATTTTAACCGCGATTTATTTGACAATCGATGACAATTAAGCTTGTCTGAACCGTTAAGTCTTCGCTCAAAGGCTTTAAAGCGATGCGGCCTTAATGAGGAGAACAGTATGAAGATCTGCTTATCAATAAGTATATTTATCGCCAAGATCATTTTAAAATCATAAACAGTAGACGACATACAAGAAAAAAATAATTGTATTGCATTAATTCCGTCTGCTACTACTCTACTACTTTACTGTGCCAAATAAAACTTTTGAATTATCCAAATCTCAATGATTTTGATTCAGTTTGAATATGACAGACAGTGTGGCTTCAAATTTACCAGTATTGGTAAACAGTCTGAGATCTTTAACGCTGCCTGATGAATGATATTGCCAAGGAAGTACAGAAATTGGCTAACTCGATGTCGGTTCCCTGCCATGACTTAAAGTACATTATAAACTTGCTTATCAAATTATATAATCTCATGATTAACGCACAAATAAGTTAAAGAAATTATCTGTTTCGTCAAAGTCAAAACCGAAGAAATGCGAAGTATGAAGCACAATCCCACAATTGCCCAGATAACTCGACGTTATTAACTCCAATGTAGGTGTAACTTCAAGCTGCATTTTTGGTTTTTTGTGACTATGGGAGGGAGGGAGCGAGGGTAGACCACAATTTATGAGTGAATAACCAGTCCAATCGGTGTATAAAACCGCATGTCTGCTTTGCTTCGCATATTCTTCTGCTCGGCGCGCATGAGTCAACCCGGCCGGACCGACAGACGGACCGCCGAAGCGAAACGTAACAGTGGCACCCGCGCATGCACCTACATGCGGTGCCGATTCTCGTGCGTGTGCCCTTCGGCAGATGACATTGCAATGCAAAACAAACATAATGCGGGACGGGGTCGCAAAGAGGAAGGAAGGGGGAGTCGGGCGTCTTCTGCCCATCCCTCCTAAGAATCGTTACACCTGCAGCACACACCAGCAGTGGGATAGTGAGCGTAGCACACAAACCTAACTAGCTATAGTTGGAAAAACAGTGCAAGCGGTGATGTTGCGTTTTGTGATTGTGTGTGCAAGACAGAGATATTCACTGTAGCCGTCGAAGAGGATCAAATCGGAAAGGATCCGGTTACAAGCTCACACGTACAAACATGATTGCACTCACTCGATTGCTTATTCAGTGCGGTGACATCCGTCCAGACTGTGTGAATGCAGGCATGCGAACGAAAGATGTGTGCGAGTGCCTATGCGTGACAGTAGTGTGCCTGTGTGTTGATTTAGAGGCTATTTGATACAGTGTAGCGCTCCTTCGCATGCAGTGGGAAAGGCCTGATAACTCGGGCGACGACCGCCCACTGAGTCCGTGCGTGTGCGATTGACGTGGCAGGTGAACATTCCCCCTCTCTCCCACTCCAATTGTGGTGGCGACTTCCGAGGTGGCAGTGAAAGCAGGTCATGCCACCCGCATGGAGTTGTCTCCTCTTGGTTTGCCCAACCTTTCCTCTCGCTCTCACTACTACTCCACGGCTCTTCTTGACAAGCTGTATTAGTAGTCGATCTCATAACTCTCTCATTAGAGACACGGGAACTATGTGAAGCATTTGTTCTCCCTACCCATCTGACAAATTAGAAACCTAAGTCGATCTGCTTTTTAGTCGACTTCAATCATCTTATCCTCTCTTTTATAGTTCCAAATAAGTAGAAGCACGAGAAATGATTTCTGTTATCAGAGTACCCCTGCCACAGTATTACCTTACCTATGTATCAATGAGCAATCATAATCAATCTATTCTTTCTCCTCAAACAATTATAAGCCAAAAAGGTTAACCAACAAGTCAACTGCAAATTCCAATTTTCGAATGCAATGTACGATTGAAATCCAATAGACTCTACAATATGCTTTAGAACTGATAACCATGATGTGTAGCATCCTGCCAACTATGAAATTGCACAATGAACCGCACCTTCGAAAACCAATGATAAAAAGCTAAACAGAATAGATCTTTACTTTCGGACCTCAATGAAAGCAGTTAAGAGCCTCTTAAAATCAACCATCAGTACTTGTAATATCATCACAAGGGTCATAAAAATTGGTGACATATTATCAGTTTTCAGGATTACGATAACCGTATCAAGAAGCAGAGTCTCGTAATGCAACAGATGCCCAGCAATATGGACACACCTAAGAAGCTTGATGAAAGGCTATTAATCTACTGTAAATGCAATTACAGTTAGGCCATCGTACCACATCTCTAAATAAGAATAGTGTTTGAAGTTATGATGATGTGCATAGGCGAAAATCTGTGATAGTTGGCCTGCACAACTAAGATTTAGTAAAGGAGCTCATTTGCTTGAAAAAAAATGATTTTAACCAAAGGAACTCCATAAGAACGACGTCTGACTCATTAAAATCAAGGTCGAATGATAAGGCAGGTGTAAATAAAGGCATATGCTCTGCAACTTTCACTGACATACACCTCGCCGAAGTCAAACATTCGTAAAATTTGAGCCGCCATTAGAGTTTCGCGCAAACACTATGAAGTTGACAATAACTTTGTGCTTTGTTGAAGTTGGTAAGTGTTAGGAACTCGGTTTTATCGCATTTGAGTTTGTCACTTGCAAAAGTGTACAAAAAGCTCTGCTGAACTCACGTGGGCGTAGCAGTCAATTGTGACCACGTGTTTTTGTTAGGTGTGAATCTTGCTATTTCAAAGAAAACAGAACAACCTAATCCGACTCGTTGCTCCAAGGATCCTCACATTTGCAATGTACGACTGCTCATGGTGGATGATCAGTAAGCGTAGATAGAAGGTGGATATTTAAGAGGTTGAGGTCAGACTATTAAGAAGGTCCCGTTCTGTACCCCTAATGTGTGAATTGTGAATTTCAAAAACGACACTCTTAGGTGGCACCATTCTCCCGGACACCTACGACAGTAAAGTACACACAGGAATTTGTTTCTTGCAAAAACTGAATCATCACCGCCGTTAGAAATGGTCGTCATCAAATTGAAACAATTGTTTCGTCAACCTTTAATCAGGCTGCATAGGGATCAGAGGCAGTTAGAAGGAACTCACTTCAATTCTGACAAAACCATAATGAGTTCCAGTAACTTCAGCCGTAGCGACTACCAAATACATTTCTGATGATAGTGCATCTCAATAGCCATTCAAGGATAAAAACACAAGAAATTCGAAAGTGTTTCCAAGTTTAATTTTGTTTTAAATAGAGAAAAAATAACACAATGTCATTGCACAGTAAGATGATTAATTACATCACAGTAATTAAGATGCATTCCAAGATTGTAGAACACAGACAAGGAAACGTATCGGTGTGTGTGGGGTCAGAGGAACACGAGAATTGCTCTCTTCGTATTCACCCTCTGGTCTACCCTGCACACCCCACACCCTAAGCCAAGATACTAGGCGTGAATTCTTGATTAGACTCTGCCCCACGTCAGTTTTCTTCATTAATACTCGAAGCCAGGCTGACCGGGTGGTCGAAGCTTAAATTTTTCGACAAAAAATACTAATAAAATACCGAAAAGTTTTGAAATTTTTCCGAGTGAATGCAAGAGGTCAGGTAAATAGTGCAGCAAACCAGATTGAAAAGGTCATTTTCACTGAACATCGGCGAGCTTTGATAGTTATTGCTCTGAGTCATTGCTTACTTGCAAAACTGAGCACATAGATGAGTCAAGATAGACAAGCAGTCAGACGAGCAGTCAGGTGGATGGGAATCCCACTATTCAACCATTTGAATTTGAGGGATTATAATTCATAATCAGTCCGCCAAGTGAAGGCGTTTCAGTACTTTATCACTGCCTTAACGTAATGTGGCAGAACTTAACCTCAACAGGTCTTTCTGCTATTCTCAATGGCAGAAGTCATATAAAGACATTGCGGGTTATTAAGTGAGACCTTAGCAGCAATTCATCGCATCATTCAGTGTCGTAAATGGCATTGTAAAGACCGGCATTGAGAGAAGTCGTTTAACACACGCAAAATTATCACCATTATAATGTAAGTTGAGTCGAAAGGTGTACAATGTCAAAAAATGCACATTTTCGCAGTCTACATTTTTTAGCAGGAATGTCCTTAGTTGGATCTCTTACAGACTAGTTAGCAGTGCAATAAGCAGTTGATGTGATGCCGAAAGGACTGCTGATGTCTACACAGCACTTAGTGATTACTTAAAATGTTTGACCAAACGTCAACCCCTTGAACATCAGAGGTTCAAAAGAGTATAGTTTCAATAAAATTTTAAAATAATCCCTCTACGCCGTGCTCTAATCGACAAAGCATAAAGGGTTGGAGGTGGAAGTTACAGATCTGATTTTTATTGTAAAAAAATGCAGTCTCTCAAATGTCTATGCATATTGGTGCCCGCATAAAATACCTTGGTTGATTAAATTCAAGAACTTTGAATTAGTGGAAGCTACAAACATCAATCAAAGAACGGCAATTAAATCCTCTTGTTTTCTAGTCACACACAAAATCAATGCGGATAATCAGCCCGCATCGAAATAGCTCAACCGAAGAGACGGCATTTTCAGTCGAAGCACCTTTATGTAAACCCAGTGGAGCACGAAATTAGAAGACCAAGAAGCCCCACTATTTGTCCGTTATCACCTGCCCTATAGAGCACCGACCTACTTGCTGGGAACTGAATTCGCCAAATCAGCAAAACAGACGTCTACTATAGTTTCCTTCAAAACATGCCTCGACACTTTTCTATCCTTGTGGGAAAAGGATGGAATTCTGTAGTATTTAGAGTTCAGAAATGGAAAGCGATCGTAATTTTGGACGCTAAAAACGACCCTTACATCAATGTCATCTTCATCGAGCGACACGAGTGCTTAAAGCCAGAAAAATGAAATAATGCAATAACGATAACTGAAGAGTGACCAACTCACAAGCTCTAAATCTTCCTTCTTCAAATTCTTTTCCTTAGGTTTCGTCAACACCGATGTAGTTGTTGACGAAGATGCGGCAGTGACAGCAAGGGGCCTCTCAGAGCATTGAAGATTTTTTATTCCATGATGAACATAATGACTGGCAAGCACCTCTCTACTACACGTAGAGAACTCACAGAAGAGGCACTGATAGTGAAATTCACCATCACGTATTTCTCCGCCTCGCAGACGGCCCGAAAATATTGGCACTGCGCAACCAAGTGAGACATTTAGGTGAGTGCCGGGTGTGGAACCAGGACGTTGAACCATTTCACCGCCCTCCGAACGCATGATCACGTCGCTGTCTGAGGAGGGACTAGTGGGCGTCTCTTCTTCTTCAACCTCTCCCTTTACAGACCTGTGTTGCAGCTCCAGATGTTCAATTATGAAAGCCTTGGAGGAGGCTATCTTTTTGCACATAGAACACTGATAGAGATTAAACTCCGCTGTCCTGCCCAAATGACTTTTAACAAAGTGGTTTTCAAGCTTCTCCGTCCAGTGGCTGTGGAATGAGCAAAGAGGGCAGTGAAGAGAAAGTATCTCCTGAGCGTCGAATTTCGGCAGGAGATCCATTTAGAGAGTCGTGTCCAATCACACGCCTACACGCGCACTGAGGGAGGGACGGAAGATCTCTCAAAGACGTGGCGACTGTAGCGGAAGCAGTTGTGTGAGCCGTTGAGTGTATGCGCCAGCAAGCGAGCGAGTAGGAGCTAGAGCGGAGAGCGAGAGAGGCAGGGTTGTGTGCGCGCGAGGAAATTAACTAAAACTGACTGACTGACTGACAACACTTTGACGTTGCGCACACGCACATGCACGCACACATACTTACGCACTTATGCACGCATACAAACAGAACGCATACACACTGCTGCGTGCACGTTCAGGTGCGATGTACTCACGGGCGCACACGTACTGAAGCACTGTCACGCGTGGCTAGCCAATAAAAGGCCTGAATTTACGCGCGCATGTAGGTAGGGGTGTGTGGATGTGCGGATGTGGCTTGACCTCCTGATGTGTGTCAGATACGCGGAGCACTCATTGGTTGAGTGCCAATGCAAGCCGTGTGTGCTGTAGCCAACGAATGACAATTGCGGTAAGAATGCGGTGCGGTAGTGTGCGTGCGTGTGTGCTAAGGTGTGTGCTAATGCAGGCCATAGACAGTTCTTCGTTTGGCTATATATTACACGAAGTGAGTTGTTTCAATTTCGTATTTTTACGAACACAATGGTATTCATACCTCCTTGTATGCTTGTTGACAATAATGCTGTTATTCTAAATTATTTAGTCCTTCCCACCACTTCGCTAGTTTTGAGTTCACCAAAACAATGCCACACTAGCTGCCCTTCACGCCATTTTACGCTACTATGAACTTAAACAATGATGACAGGACCCTTTGATTATCCAATTGTCAAAGACAAAGCTCATGCTAATGACCACCTACGAATTTCCGAACTAATAATTAAGTTTAATCCGATGATGTTGTTGTGATGGGGGGATGTCCTCAAAATTAAAATGGCAATCTAATTTGGATGAGGGGCTTGGTTATTGAGACTGACACACTCGAGGGTTTGATGATGAAGTGTGGGCCAATCAACTCGCTTGATTACCACTCACCTCTCTTCCGGCCAACTTGACGCACTCATCAATTTATTGCGCCATCTGCAGTGGTGTTCAGGTCGTGGGTTGGTTAAGCTTTGATTACTTGAACTTAAATGTCCACTAGGAATCAGCATTAATAAAATCAAATGATTTTGTGCAAGCTGTGTAACAGAACGAGGATTGTGGATAGAGTGGAAGGTCAGGGAAAAACGACAGGATGGCGAGGAATCAGGCGACTTAACCTTTACGACATCTCCATGGTTAAATCAAGTTGTTGTAGATGTGTTACCTTCTAGCATAAAAGAGTTTTTAAAGTGAAGCCTTTGCTGCAGCGCTTTAAGGCATAAAAGGAGGCAGTACTTGCAACATTACTCCATTTAACTACGTTAGTAAGTTTTAGGAGGTGCAATGCCACTAATGTATCACCTCATTATCACTTTAATTTGACAAGTTAACTCCTCAATAAAGGTTGAGTTTATCAAAATGAAGCTTGCACCCATTAAGTAATCCAGATCAATGGCGTTTACTCACTTTGACCCGATGAGCCGCCTCACTGGGCATGTTGATCAAGGAACTTGCTGAAATGGTTGAAAGGAAAAAGCGCTCATTGATGTTCAGAATACGGCCCATTCGGGTGGTAGTAGTTCTGTTTTAGGGCGTATGAGTCTGGTGGGAAGAAGGCAGCAGAGACTGGCCATCAAGTCAGAGTTGCTGGTGGATGGTCGAATCGAAGGTCCAAATGCAAAGGCTATCTAAAATTGCATTGTGCTTTGAAATCTAAAAGCATTTTGGGCCGAAACCGAACAGCAACCACAACTGTCACCCACCAATTTGTGCTATATAGTTGCTACGATAAAAATTGGCAACTTATAAAACTGCTTCGTTTAATATTTCAATTTTGAAACAATAAAGTCGATTGCTACGAGCATTATCTCACAATAACAAACACCGATGTGGATTGCTTCCACACGCTCTTCAGACAATTGCTCTTGACCGATTTTTTGCAAGCTTTAATTATGAAGGTCAGTCATTCTTGAGCTACCACGCCATTTAACTAATCGGCCAGTGCCTTTATCGGCTCGAATTGGCGGTCAGGCGTAGCTCTTTTGCCGTTTTCATACCTCTGGAGTGGCATCTGAAGCTGCTTTGCAAGGCTCTAGGCAATACCGCTATCTATGCCGATAGGTGGTTGCCAAAGCAGGACGGGTAAACTTGACTTGTGTGTGCGCACAACACCGAAGGAGACACGCATCAAAGCAGCCAGACAACCTGTCAACCGGAACGGCGGCAATGACGCGCTACACGCACACACAGAGAGAAGGAGAGATGAGGGAATAGCGGGAGGGGAGAGAAAGTTGGTATTGAAAGTCTCTCACGCCCTCTTCCCCCTCCCCTTCCATTCTGGACCCAGAGGTGACTTCATGCGCACTTACGTGCGTACGTACGTGCGAGCTCGCTTCAATGGTGCGTGGGTTAGGGTCACGGTTGGTGCTTGTCGTGGCTGAACGCCTCGCTCTTGCTCCTCCTCTGACTTTAACTCCGGCTCTATCTCTAGCCGCCGCGGGTTTACACAACCACCTTTGATAATCCACTCCCAATTTACTGTCAATGGCGTAGTTACCTCCTGTGTACCTGTGTGTGTGCGAGCCCAAAATAAATAAACAATGCGAGACGTGTTGTTGCCATTGTTACTGTTAATGGTATAATCAGTGCACTCTTAAACTACCACCTCATTACAAGTCTTGTGACTGTGATGCTTACTGGCGCTCTTTGATCCTTGGAGGCGGTGACAGAAGCGAAAAATATCGATCGCAAGATTGTCGGGAGTGTCACCAGTTTTCCTTGCGATGTCATGCGAGGGAACTGCAGCATTAATAAAGCTTTTTAAAAGTCCGGTTATTACTTTTATAATGAAACTGAGCTTCGAATGCCGGAATGGGATGGTTTGAGCATGACATGACAGATTTGTGGGACCGCAATTGCAAGACATGAAGAACCAGGAGGTAACAGGTTAATCATTTTGGCCATAGCTGTGAAGAAGGCGAGATTCAACTAACACATCTGTGTGTTTTGAATTGGTTAATGTAAATATTTTAGAAACTGCTTATGCATTTTACTCCTAGTGATCAAGGCGGTTCAGGTAACCCTTCGAGGTCTCGGATCGAGACTCATCGTTGGCATGCAATTAGCCTAACTTTTGAAAATTCAAGAAGAATCTCTAGTCGAATCGACGACAGTTATGAATGACGTGAAATCAAGCCTATTATTGTACTTCATTTTTTTACATTCAAACCGTCGGACAAAGTTAATGATTTACTCGGCACTTGGTACAACATGGAATAAATTCCGCCAGACTACGGGTGTTCACATATCATTTAACTTGGTTTAAAATGTGGTACCTTTTCTACAAGTCAAATACATCGTCAGTGATTGTACATTGAGGTTTCCATCAAAAACAGTCCCATTCCGTTAGAATCTGTAAAGCCCGTACATTTTACACATTGGCACTGATAGTGATATTTCCAGCTTTTTGCCTTTTCTGATTGGCAAAGACCGAAAAAAAACCAATTTTTTAATATGAGTTGTGGTGCAGATAATCAGGCGGTTAATACATTCAGTGCCCTCGTGGGGACGGTGGATCCTAGAAATATTAATTAGTGACAGGAGACAACAAAACACGTCATCACTTTTGAAACCGCAAAGACATCCACTAGGCATAATGAATTTCAGACTGTCTTTACTGGACGAAATGGGTTTTCACAGCACTGCAGTAGGAGAGTCGAGTTTTAACCCCAAACTCCCCTTAAACTCGAGACAATGGAGGTAAAGTCACTACAGGTAAGGTAGTGTACTGTTTCTTAACACTCGGCAACGCCTTTTAGGACCGTCAACGACGACTGATAGTTGAAGGAAAACTCCAGACAACTCTATTTCCCTCATTCGTGTAATGGATAGGTGCATATACTTGTTTTCTTGACAATGAAAACAGCCTGTTGACCAGTCTGTCTCAAGGGTGACCGGTGATCACGGGGCACTTACAGTGGGAAAGGCAATAAATAATCTCATCTCAAAGGCCATGGTTTTTACCAGTCACGAATGGTTCCACCGCAGTATGCATAGTCCCATTACTTATCCGCAAAATTATAATGAAACTCACTCCTTTCTCCAGATCACCTCAGTTCTCCCATTTGAAGTGTTTTCAGTTTTATCATCCCCTTTACTCTCAAATTTACTGTAAATTTTTACCAACTTTAAGAGTTGTTTTAGTGTAGACTTGTAGAAGGTATTAAAGAGACTCATTTAAGGGTTACATGAGATCAAACTGGTAACTAATTTGGAGAGACCTTCAGGATCAGTAAAAAGCACAATCGCAGAGCCTTTCAGATTGCTTTGATTATTGCTTCTTGGTGATCTCTTCCAACAGGTATTCGGGTGCGGAAGGTGTGACTGCTTTGCAGGAATAAAGATTGTGCCATGAGCCCTCGTTACCAGAGGACGCGTCTTGCCGATCGCCTTTTTAACTCGGCACGGGAGTTAAACCTTCATGCATCGTTTGAGTGAGGAGACTATGGACATAGTCATTGGCGCTGACCACTCTTTGCCACTTTTTAACGTAAGAGCGTGCCGTATTTTCGTATATCGCCAACCAGTCTCAATTCATACACTCTAATCGCCTTTCCTTTAAGCATATTCTCCACTTTTTACGACATTTGTGCGTTGGTCATCAAAGTTAACAAGTGCTTCGAGGATAACATTGTAGTCAAAGGTTCTTTGTGATGGCAATTTTAACCATTAGCATCACAAAAATATGTCAAAAAGCGTTGATTTTCGGCAGCTTGTGTCTACCCTTACAATATCAAGGGGTAAAGTAAACGAATCCGAGATATTAATTTTAGGAAATCGGATCAGATCAGTTATTAGCTCAGCTTGGAGGCAAAGGATGAGAGGATGACACAAGAGGAGGCAAAGGCGGA